CCCCCCCCCATTTGTAGCGGGTAGTACAACGGAGTCCAGATGTTAACATAAAGGGTATTTCTCCATCCCATATCACTGGCTACTAAACATGAATAATGAGAAACACACAATATGACAATATAAAGAACTAGGAAAATTGTATTAGAGAAGATGGTGGGAAAACTAGAATTCAACAATTTTTACAGGTATTCCTTGTGAAATGCTTCATGGCAATATTTCACAAGGAAGACCTGCGAGGACTGTTGAATTCACATAGGGCGCAGATAAAGGGAAACATATCTTCAGCAACAAACATATCACTGAAGCTTTGGATGTTACAGAGGAAGCACTAGTTGAATACACAATCACTTCTGTATTTAGCTGCCAAGTTTCATGTAATATTGAAAGGGGACCTTATTCAGGATGTGAATCTCCTCTGTGAAAATCTCATTTGTGGAGGAGAATCTCGTCTCTGAAAAGTTCACACCAAACATTATGAAGTGCTACCAGCTGAACAGAAAAGCAACTGTACTTCTGGCTGGTGGAGATTTCATCATAACATTTGAATCACCGTAGACAGACCCTGCAGAAACCTAGCATCTTCTCCTTTTACTGCACCCTGAGTATTTGGTTCACTGAGCATAAGCATGAATAAGGAGTTGAATTTCAATTCAAAAACCTGTGAAGAAGCTGTAGGTAGTGGTTACGTTGTAAGGCTAGCACAAAGAACAAACAAGCCAGAATGACAGACGTCAAGAATCCAATTAAGTTCGGGAATTACTGGGTTTAAGCAAGTTTTTAACTGTCTTAGCTGTCTTACACTCCCCTGAAATTGCTACTAACAGTCAGGCATCAACTGCACCAGTGGTTGTTTCAGAACCTGAGGCAGTCCAGTGCACTGCTTCCTCAGATCACCTTTACATTTCAGTGATAGTGTGCATAATAGGATATTTTCAGACCTTTGTGGAAACACAACCCAATTCTGCCACCTCGTGTTCCTATGGCTTATTGCAAGCATCTTCCTAAGTTCCGTTGGTGACAAGAGAAATACCTACAGTATGGGAGACTTTGTTACAAGCATTTTGTAAATATTGTGCAAAATTAGGGGCAATATAAATAAAACGTACGAGTAGGAAATGCCCTTTTAAAAAACAAAACAAAACAAAAATGACTGAATGCCCTTCTAAAAAGGTGAAATAACGGAATATTTTAATTACTTGAGAAAGTCTTGATTTTGAAGAGGGTTAACGTATGTGCGCACACTGAAAGGGTACGTGATAACTGGTGGAGAGTAAAACATTTGCACAGATCACATCGTGAGAGTTGACATTATATGTCCTAAGGAATACTCGTGCAGTAATATTCTTTTTTGCCATGTAAGCTTGGATAGACAATCTGGTGTCTTCCAGATGTTTTGGATTTCATTTCCCATCAGTCCTAGGCAGCTTGTGGGTAAGGGCTGTGGTCCAGAACATCTAGTGGGCAACAGATTGCCTATTCCACATATAAGCAAGCCTAATCTTTAACATGAGAATCACCAATATGTCCAGTAGTCATTACAGTGGCTAAACCATATAGGGATTTCTGGCAATCATCTCTTAAAATACTCAATTAAACACATGACAGTAGCCTATTCAGATAAAAACCAGGGACAGTTAAAGCTGCTCATCTGGGCTGACCCAAGTGACTGTTAATCCAGATGAGTTTTCAAGCCAGATTTTTAGGAAATGGTGACAATATCCTTTGTTGTTGTTGTTGACACTGGAGAAACTACAAACAGCTGTTTAAAGTGACTGGAAGGTTTAATTTCCTAACAACAAACAAGAATGTGAGATGTGGGATGAATGTGAGAGTCTACAACAGAACATGCAATGAATGGCAAGGACTGTTTCTCCTGATGACCTGGTGCCCCTCCAGGGCAGTGTTTCTCAACCGTGGCAGCTTTAAGCTGCGTGGACCTCAACTCCCAGAATTCCCCAGCTAGTATACCACCACGATTGAGAAACACTGCTCTAGGACATGCTGTGACTGACTGACTGTGGGGCATTTCTGCATTCAGTTACTACCAAAATACCCAACACATCCTGACGACCCACAACTATCCTGCCCACGCTTTCAGACCAAGTCCTGTCTCAGCAGTTCACGCATGATCATTTGGCATCCACGACTCAAGAAAAGGGCAATCTGGAAATGTGCAGGGAATTATTCTGCATTTGCCTCCCCTGAGGGGAGAAAAAGGAAAGATCTATAGGGGACCTAGATGAAAGACAGCAGTCTTGAGGAGAGGGGTAGAATATGAAACGAGGACCCAGGGAAACTTCTCAAGAGAAATGCTGTCACAGGAGAGGGAAGAACCAGCCAGAAGCTTTCCTTGATCTTCCCTCTTCCCCCCAACATGAACTGCCTACTCAGTGAACAGACTCCAGAGACCAGACCGTACCATTTAAACTTAGCAGGGGATCAAATGCACTGGAGGTAAAGCATTGTGATTCACTAGAAGCTCAAATCTGAAAAGCATTTTCGCTCATGACATGACCCTCCGAATCAAATACAGTGATGAGCCTCAGGTTTTCTGCTGCTGTGAACCTTCAGTAGCTCTTCATGGTTTGCAAGCAGGCTCA